TCATGGCAATTGGAAAGGAAATAAGAACACTTTTCCCTAAGGAAACAGGTTGGCAAATGGGTTTGGGTCTGTTAAAGCTTTAGTGTTTATGTTAATGGAATTTCATGTTATCAAAATAACAAGAAGTTGTTCCGATGAAGAGCAGGTTCAAGCCCATGTTGTCTGCTCTGTAGATTCCTATTTAATTCATGTTCATGCATTGAAAAATTCACTCTATAGCCAACCTGTAATTCCACAGGGGTAAACTGCAGAAGTGCTATTAGCTATGAAGGGAGAAAGATACAGTTTTGTGGTGTCCAGTTCATAAAGGAACAGCTTTTCAAAGTGTAACTAGTTAAGCCCTGTAGGATGAGTTAAAAAGTACCAGGTTTCAGTAATTTAACTTGTTTTTATCTCTTTCAGCTGTTTTTAGTTCATGGGCAAAATTGAGCTACATCTGACTGGTTCATTATCATCATTATCCAGCTTCTAATCATTAAAGAGGTATCCTGCATCTCTGATGGATTGATTTTTGCACCCATAGAATTATAAAACTTTACTTTCAGACCTGCTTCATACCCACAGCACAAAGGTCAATTTGTGATGCCTCTTCACTGCTGAATTTTAAAACCCCAAGTGCCTTCAAGTTAAAATTTTTACTTAGTTCACACCTTTTAGTGAACACGTTTTAGTATAGATGGGTGTGTGGATCTCAGCAAAACTTCCTGAAAAGGATAAAGGGAAAGTAGTCACAACCACTGAACTAGAACGCTCTTTATGGTGACCAAGAAGCAACCAGACTATAATCTAAGAGCTACTATGAAAAGCTACATGACTAATCTGTATTTTCATTGTTTGACTGGGAGCAGGAAGGAAGATGTAGCACAACAGTCAATTTATTGGAAGAACAATGTAGTCATTCATCAGGGCATTATTCTGAAATAATTTAAATGACAGTAGAGCAGCCCACTCTTGACTTAAGAAATCACAAGTCATTCAAATTCCGTATCTAATAATGAAATTGTTCCACTGACTTAGTGGTTGGCATAAATTACATGTAGCTAATATGTTCCTGTTGCAGACCCTGAGGACTCTTTGTTTATGCTAAATGTGAATGTATTCTAGCACATGAATTACTATCCTCCTGCTTGCTTCTTGGGCGCCTCCAGAATAAGTAATACATTGGCATAACTTTGCCATTTGTCAGCCAGCAGTCTGGTAGCACATTTGCTCGTCAATCTAATTTTAACCTTTTCTCATACAAGCACTTGGTATTTCATGTAAATCAACCAGACAGTCTGTCATTCAATAGGATACTATCTTCATAGTCTTCTAAACTACGTGCTCCATTGTATGCATTCATTATTAAGTAGCAGTGGAAAAGTAAAACTAATATATTATTTCTGGTTTCTTAATACCAGAATACCAGGAATCTCTTTATTACCACAACAGAGACAAATGATATGTCTAGCAGAGGTTCTGGACAATGGGGCTGGTAATTCATTCAGCACTTTCTGAATTGAAATGTCTGTCCTGAATGGTAAGTAGTGCAGAGCATGGTTAAAGGCTTCAGAGTACCTCTTCTAGGTCTGTTTCTATTATCACTCTAATTTGCAGCTAATAATGTTAAAAAGTACATTCAACTGATGAATTGGAATAAAAAAAATTTCCCTGTGGTTCCAATGAGTTTCTTGATCAAATACGATGCTGGCTGCAAAAGAGAACATAATTCATTCTGAAATACAGATAAATTTGTCAGTGCTCATTTATTTTTATAATTTGTATAAATAACATAGAAGGTTTAGTGGTATATCCTTTACTGTGTAAGGTTTTTCAGAAATTGATTTGGCTATAAAAATAATATGTTTGAAGTTTAGATTTTTTTTTTAGTGTTGCTGTAACTATGTATCACTTTAATATCTTTGATTTTTTAAACACGAATTAAGGTCAGAGTCCATTTATGCAGTAATAAATAATAGTAATAAATAAATAAGACTCATTCAGGCTTATTCAGATATTTCACTGTATTATGAATGTTTTAAAAAAGCAATTGTAAAGTTGTAATAAAACAATCTGTGGTGTTGCTAAGAATTCAGTCCCACATGTCACATGTAACCATTCATTGCATAGTATAATAATAGTTACCTGTTTTATTAATTATGGAAATCATATTTTGATGTAAATTTTCCTTATTGATACTTTGATATTATTAACCCTATGTTACATTTCACTCCACTCAGGCTTATGAGTGATAAAATAGAACTCATATATTTACTACAAAATTCTGTTCTGAAAAGTAATTTCTGACACTTTACTTGGTCTGGGGCAGACCCTGAATGGTGCCTTATTTCTCCCCAGCACGGTCCTCAGCAGTCCCCTTACCAGACAACAGAAGCAAAGCTCATTTGCTCCTCTAGAATCACAAAGTCCCTCCTCAGTCCATAAAGTCTTCTGCTGCAGTTTGCTAACAGATTGCATCATGCTCTGAGCCCATCCCCATTGTCATGCCCCTTTTCTAGCAACTTCTGTGCAAAATTTACCTCTGTTGCTGTGAACTAATTCATCTGTGTTGAGTTTCTGGGTATGAGTTGCATCTAATGATATTTGTACAATTTCTACCACAAAGTTCTGTTTCTGCTTAAGGTAGCAGTGTAATAGAAGTAATAACATACAGACTGTCTCCACCACTACCTCCAGCACCTTTTGTATCTGCAAATCAAGTAAAGGCAATATTTGTCCATCATGATGTAAAGTGGTGTGACTTAACTTAGCACTAATTTGACTCAAAGATTTAACCACAGATCAAGTAAATATCTTCAAAAACACAGACCTGAGGTTTTTGTACACCTTGAATAAATATAAAGCAGAAGAGTCTGTCCCATAAAATATTCAGGTACTTCTGTCACTTAATTTTGCATAGCAAGGGTATAAAGGAGTTTATCCTCCCTGCTCTGATAAAGTTCTTACACAGGATTTTGTTTGGCTTCTGTATCTATAGGTTTTATGCCAGGCAGCTGCAGTTTTTGCTCTCAGGGATGTATCTAGGCAAATTCAATATGGTCACTGAGATGGACTGTCGTAAGCAATAACAGCATTTGATTTCCCTGAGCCTGTCAAAAATAATTCTACATGTAATTTGTTCATTGCATGTTCAAACCTCTTGTTTACCACTGTTCTTGCAGCTGTGATTTTTACCTAGTTCAGAGAAGTGTATGTTGCCAATAAATGTTTGCTCTGAAGAAAAGCAGAGAATTTCTGGGTATTAAGGGGGTCTGCATTTTATTCCAGGAAAAATAATTTCTGTTTATAATTACTTATTGTTCATGCATTAAGGCACCTATAGTTGTGTTTAACAAACATCCTCTTTCCCTTCAAATTTTCCATGATTTTTGATCCTTAGGGATTACTGAAGAAATAAATCAATGAACAGGATCAAAATTACAAAATTATATGTGAGATGAGTCGAGCCTTATATCTTTATTTAAGAAGGAAATTAATGTTTTAATTCTGTGCCTGTATGAAGAAAAAAAAAAAAAGGTAATGATGTGCTACTACTGCTGACAACTTGGGTAATATTTTTCCCTGGAATACATATCTAAGTACAAATTCAGTTCTAGTTGTTAGCAATATATTCCTCCAGGTATCAAAGCAAAAATCCAGTCATGTCTATTGGAAGGTGTTTGGTAGGCAAACACAATATGGAAGCGCTTGGTCTTCCTCTTTTCATGTGATATTTTTACTCAGCAGAGAAGTTTTATTGCCACTTATTATTAGCAAGTCATTCTGTAGCCATTTAAATTCCATTTTTGAAGGTCCATAATGGAATTCCCTAGTGTGTCACAGACCTAGTGCCACATTGATGGTAAAAGCTCAGGAAAATAGTCTTTCTGATTGGTATTATATAAATACCTATAAATGCATATCAGCACCTGGTACATGGGGCTGGGCTGCTGGGTTTGTGAGAAGTCAGGGGAGATCTCGGGTGCTGCTGATGTGCTGGGTCTCACCTACTGCTCTCAGGACAGCTCAGCCTCCCTTTGCCTTGTGCTCCTCAGCTGCCACAAGCAGCTTGGGCTTTTGGTCCATCAGGGAATTGCTGCTCAGTAACCCCATGCACCGGACACAATTTGCTAAGGCAATTTATGTCTCCCTGTACCTGACTGTCAGTCAAAAATGGGGAGGGCAGACAAGTGCTCCCCATCCCACATGACTCCTGGCTGGAGGAGCACGTGGTGGGCTTTCTTGCAGGATCCATGGTTTTTTGGTGCTTCTGGCCTCCAACTGCCAATTTACAACTTCAGGCTCTAATTAGTTTTCAGGGACATATCAGTGAAAAGCCATGATGTGGGTTTATAGGGGGACCACAGATGTTACTTCTCCTTCAGAGCAAAATTTGTGCTCTGATAGTTTTTCCACCCAATTCTAAGGGATTCTTCTTGTACAATATAACCTATTTCTTCTACTCTGACCTTACTGCTTCACTTATTAATTCCACTTTGGGTCCATGCCTGACTCCCTGAAGCTCTTTCGATTGTCATTTGTTCCCCTTCTCCCTCTGCTCTGATGCACCTCTGCAGCTTGGATGCTTTTGTGGGGAAATTGCCTTCCACCACTGTCCTTTCACACCCCAGCACAGGCTGGACTAAACACAGAGCCATCTCTGGCCTAAGGCAACTTTCTGTCAAAAAGCAAACACAGTCATGGGTGACACTGACGTGAAAGAAGTAGCCTCCAGCAGTCCCCACAGCTTGTCTCCCTAGGCTCTGCTCTCCAAATGTGGTCCTCACTGAGTGCCACTTTGCAGCTCAACTGGCCCCATCTGAGAGTGGCTCAGGACAGGGACAGGCTGAGCAGAGCTCGAGTGGTGCAGACCTTGGTGGGGGTGCACTGCAGCACCCCACATCACCCAGCCTCCGAGGGACCCCGCAGCTGCTGCAGGGACTGTGCCACCAGCTCTCAGGTGGGAGTCATCCGTAAGTGCAAGGTGGGTGAAGTTTGCTAAGGGGCTGCATTTCTTTGTAGGTGGGTGCGGGAGAGGACAGTAAAGGGTGTTTGTTCCCTGGCAGCACACCCCACACGCCTTCAACACGGGGAGAGTCAGCACAGGGTGCCGTTGCCTCTCCACCTTTGTGCATCAGCCCAAAGGGCTGACGAGGCAGGGTGGAACATGAGCTTATTGTTATCTTCCTACTTGGGTCTTGCAGAGGTTGGGTGGTGGCTTTATTTCTTACTGTAGGTAGAGGGAAAAGTGGCAGTTCTGGTGGTGAGGGGTCCTCAGCTGGAACCCGTGGGGCCTGCACTGGGCTCCTCTGCCCCTGTCTCAGGGCAGCCTGGCCATGGGAAATGGGCCAGTGGGCTGCTGAACCCACTGTGCTACTGCAGGGTGTCCCACGCACTGCAGCTCCCAGCCCCACTCCAAGTAATGTAATTTTCCTGCCTCTTCACAGGTTTTTCTAATCCTTCATTAGGTGCATTCCTAATCCTACATTAGATCTTTATCTCATCTCTGTCTGCTTTAAACATGTTTTTTCCCTTTTCTTACAGTGCTTCCCCAGCTCCTCATCTCCTGCACAGGGAAATTATGTGTACACTGGGATGCTTCTGCTTTTTATGCCTGGCTTCCCACCGAGTACCTTAGAAGTGTTACAGCTGTTTGCTGCTCTGATTCACAACCCAGCTGGCACTGATGCTTCCTTGTGCATTCCCTAAGGTAATTCTGCCTCCCTGTCACTTCTGGTTTTGTCTGAGGCTTGTCTGGGATCCCTCTATTCTTTATCCCAAACTAATTGTATTCTGCTGCTCAGATCAAAGAAACTAGTTGTGTGTCTATTAAGATGAAACTGCAATGCAGTTTATGGGGAAGAAGCTCCCTTGGGAAGTGTGAAAGCAGGTGCACAAGAGGCAGAAACACTGCATTGCAGAAAGAGTGGGAATTATGATTACAAGAGATACAAAACTTCAACATTATTTTTTAAAATAATGGATTTATTATTCCAGTGACAATGTCCTGTGTGTCCTTGTGCTAAGAAGGCTCTTATTTCTTCCCTCTGGAACAGAGAAAGAAAGTGGTTGCTTAAATCGCTATTGACATACAACACGTGAATTCCAGATTTGATTTTATGAACAGTCTCTATCATCCTGTCTTGTCTGGACAGCCTCATGCTGTCACCATTGTACTCTCACCATTCCCATAAATAGCCTGCTTGGTTATGAAGGACTAGTAGTGTTTCCTCTGGGAAGAACAGGACTTCAACTAAAGGCATTTTAGGCCAGTTTTTGTCAAACTTTCTATAGGAGATAGGGTTTGGAGAGTAGAAAACCTGCTAAAGAAAACCAGTAATCAAAGTATTAATGTTTGAAACACAGACACTTGGAGAGCCTGAAGAATCCACAGAGGAAAATGAAGTTAGAAGGAGGATGGTGGTGTGCTTTTAAAAAGGAGGCTTGGCTTCAGGGCTGGCAAGCAGCAAGGCAGCTGCCACACAGAGAACGAGGAGCTCCCTGTGATCCAGCAGAAAGCTGGGCTGCAGCGCAGGGATGGCTGTGAGGTTGGCAAGTCTGCTCTGCACCCGGAAAATGCACAAGTGTACTGGGGAACAGCAGGTAAGGCAACGTGTTTTTCTGTAAACTTTTGGAGAAAAATAGAAAGTACTTGTGTGTAGAAAACCTTGTGTTTCAGCTCTTTAGCTGTTAGTAAGATCTTTTGAGTGTGGAGGGCACTGGCAGGCAAACAACCAATACCCTCAAAGTTGGTTCAGTAGGGAGGGATGTGTTTAATCTTGTGAAGAGAGTGGGGATCCATGGTTTTATGGGTACAGGTCATCTGGGCTGTGTGACCCTGTTCTGTGAGTAAATACATTGAAGACACCAAAGAGAGCACACATCCTGCTGGCCATGCAGCGAGGGAAGTTCAATTGCACACAGCGCGAGAAGTCAGACACAGTCCAGATTTGCATGGCAGGTAACAAAGCTTGGTGGGTGTCTTCTTCTGACTATTAAAAGTAACAAATACCAAGATGTTTGAGTTTTTTTCTTACAATTAACAACTGATCTGGAATTCAGACCCCATCTCCCACAGCCTGGGCAGTTTCCAAGGGTGCATTGAATCGACAGCAGCACCCTTTGTGCAGAGCGAGTCTGTACACAAGAAGAGAGCCCTGCCAAAAGAAAAGAAATACAGCACTGCATTCAGGGATCTGACTAGCTTCTTCTGAACAGCAAGGAAAGCACCACACTTGCCAGTTATCTCTTGTGTGCATTTCCTCAGTTGTGGCTGGGGCCATCTGATGAGTGTTTCCCTTTCGCTCCCAGCGCGGCGCAGTCTGTCTGCTGTCAGCAGCTAATGAAGTCACTCGCAAGACGCCATTCCCTGGGGAAAAGCAGGGCTATGAATAGACCTGTTACTTGCGTCTCTGGTTGCAGTGCTCTCAGCGCTTCTTTTGCTGTGCCACCGTCTCTGATGACTGTGCCACTTACGAACAATGGTCTTTCGCTCTTGAGCTACTGCTATTCCCGATGCCAAAAAGCAGTCCTCTTCCTTCTGGTAGAGCTGTGGTGTTCAGTGAGTGCTTCTGTGCTGGTCCCAGTGACAGGCACAGGTTCTGAGGTACCACACGCTTACCAAATATGTGCAGAAAGTGAATGAGTAATCTTATTGCAGCAAGTGCTTTTAATAATAGTCTGCAGTGAATGTCATTGTCAGATTCCTCATCAATGCACATCCTACAATAGGAGGGGAAAAAAAACCCATTTTTTTTTTTCTGAGAACAAAATTTTTCCATGCTACTGAAATATAAAAGCAAACTATTAATCTGATGAGAGCACCACCTCTTTCCCCAGCTGAGCTTACAAGTCTAGGTATGATTAAGCTTGTGTTTAGAAGGAGTTGTATGTTGGTCTAGACAGAGCTGAGCTATAAAAGAAGCAAAATCAGCAGAAATAAAGACAGATAAAGAATGATGAATCATGATGACATATTGTTCAAAGTATGTAAGAACATGTAAATACTTATCATGATGTGTAGGGCATAGAGTCATTGTTAGTACCAACAGAGTCAAGGACTATTCAATGCACTTCAGTGACTGAGTTTGTGTTTGAAATCTAATCTAAAATAACCTGACAGATGAATATCTTTGTAAGAAAATTTAGCTAACAAGGTTAATAAATGGTGAAAAAGAATAAAAGTAATTAAAGTAGCATTCAACTGGAACATGACCTGTTCTCTCTTCAGGAGATATAGGGGAAAACTTTCTTAAAAGCTTTTGTTTTATATACAGCTTATTATTTTTTACCAGACTTGACGGTCTTAACAGTCTCTGCCCAAATCAAGTTGTCAAAGTTTTAATTCTCAGGAAGCTAGGGTGAAGTCTTCAACAAAACACAAATGTAGATTTTTCTGTGATTCAAATATCTGAACCATTCCTACATGAGCAAAGTTACAGTTGTCTCATATGAACCTTTGTTCAGATGCCTCATCCTCCTGCTTATATAAAACCAAAAAAACAAAAGCCCCTTGTTACTCATAATTTTATTATTAATTCTGGTTGGCTGAATAAGTTTGAGTGATTCATGATCTATGTTCAAATTTAACACAGCCTTCAATGTGTTCAGCCTGACATGTGGTGTCTTATAATATTGATATATCTCATCGACCTAGCAATCTGCATCAGCTTGCTGAAGCATGCCTTGAAGGGAAAATGATACAGTAGTGCTGATCTACTCCTCTGTCAAAGCTTTAATTAAACATTCAAGCTATCAGTTAAGAGTGAAGGAGCTTGGGGAAAAGCATGAGATGCCTGTCCTGTCATTAACAATATTTCTTTTTGAAAGTTTAGGAAGATAGGAATATGCCTCTTAAATCAGATGTCTGTCCCCTGGTCAGCATCTGAATGGCATTCAAAACTCTGATCTGTCTTGCTCTCTGGTATCCTATATAAAAGAAAACATGAATGAATGCATCTGATTTTCCTGTACACTTACTCAGCACTTTTTTCCAGTTGCACTCGAAGCAGGTGGGGTAAGTTCAGTAGAGCAGAGCTGGAGGAGTGCTGCTCTGGCAGCAGTTCTCATCTTTTTCCTGGGCTACAGAGTTGCAAATCCAGGGATAGGTTTCTCCTTTAGGGTTTGTTTCCCATTGCTGGCACCCAGACAGCCTGAAACCTGATGAGGCAATCCTCGGCCATCCGTGGCCTGTTATCTGAGGGGTAGATCCTGGTCCCAATGAGGTTTCATTTAGTGCTGCTCCTGAAATGAGGCTCTGACAGTCTACCTAGGAGTGGCAGTCATATGATAAAGCCTCCTAGCTATGTCTGCTGAGGTGTCTTATTAGGGTCATGGAGAGATTGGTTTTTCTTCCCTTAGCAGAACAGTCTAAGGATAGGACTGCAAATGCTGTCATTTCTCCCCAGGGCAGAAAACCTACTTGGAATGATGAACCTTGTTATCCCTAGAAGATAGTTCTTGCTTTCTTGAGTGCCATTCTAGCAGCAATTAATCTCATCCAACAGCAGTGGATATTAAAGCTACAGCCAACACTTCCAATGGTTGTTAAAAATCAGCTTCAGCAAGCTTTGCTCCCTCTCTGACCCTTTCCTGGCTTCCACATCTCCTGTGCTTGGCTGTCCTCCACCCAGGCTTTCAGGCTCAGATTTGGAAATCCCCTGTTCCTGACAGTGGACTGTTATTTTTCTGGCAATATTTACCTGCTGTCCTTGTGAAATGAAATCAAGGCCTCTGTGATGCCTGTGCTGTTATTCAGAGTATTAATAGACATTATAAACAAAAGAAATTGTCAGATTTCTGCCACAAGAGCTGCACTCAGGAATTTCTTCAGGCAGGAAGGCTGTCCAGATTGGAGCTTCTGATGCTCTGTCTGCCCCCGAACCTGGACTGGTTCTGGTTGTAAGAGTGAGGCAATTACTTCCAAGGAACAATCTTCCTCAAGCATCACTATAACAACAGAAGAAGCACAGTACCAGGTTCGTAAAGAAAACTATACACTATGGAGACTATGAACTTAAAAGAATGTAAGCAAAAGGCCTAGTCTTGAAAGATTCATTAACATGTAAGTTCAGAAGCATGAGCTAAATCAAACTGTCATTGCTCAATCCGCAAGCATAGCAAATAAACCTAAGAAGGGATTTTTGAAGCAGCAGGGGAAGAAAAGAAAAATACTCCTATAAAAGTGGTGAGGATGAATCAGGTGGTAAAACATGAGAACATAAACATCGGTTCAGAATGAAGGAAAAATAGGCTTTATTACTTCACATGAACAAACTGATGATGAAAGAGACCTAGTAAAAGTGAGTGATTTTATCGGTAATATGACTGCACAGACATTGTGGATAGTTGTGTGTCAGCACAATCTGAATAAATAACTGCAATGGTTTTGTTTGCTTCTCTGTATGTTTAAAACCATAAATATTGATCAACTTTCACAATGAGACAGAAAATGCTAACATCGTGAGAATGTGAAAAATATGCACTTTCCATAAGACATTCTTAGCGTATCCAGGCCGCTGCTGACACTATTTATTAGATAATCTTACCTGAAAGGGTTACCATGATTTTTGACTTGTAGGTCATGTACCCATCCTGTCTAATCTTCAGGTTAACATGACACAGGCAGAAGAAGGAGTTTCTGTTTTTCCTACATTCAGGAAAGTTCACACACACTACAGACCCAGAGAGGAACTTGCTTAGCTTTTTAGTACAGGAAGAAAGATGTAGTCTGTAGTAGTAAGCATCTGATATCCCCAAGTTAGAAACAAGTTTGCTCTTGACTGTGTCTGCAGAAAGTGCAGTGAGGCATCTCCTGTGTGTCAGCCCAAGCTCTGTGACTGCTGTTCCGTGGAGGTTTGCTTATCTCCATATCCATGACTTGGCACAGTTTCTGGGAGCAACCATAGCACCTGTTTGACCTGTTAAATTTTTCCTTGATTTTTCCTATTCCTCTCAGCTGCTGCGTATAGCTATCACTTTCTGATATAAAAGGGCATTCAGATGCCTCTTTCAAATTTATGTTAACTCATTAACCTCTTTACCTTTATGAGTATTTCTCATGCAGTTTTAAAATTTTGTAGCGACCCTATGGTAGTTAGACACTCAAATGTCTCTCCTGATTAGGGTGGGTAAGGTCTTGCTCTAATTGAGAGAGTCTCATCCACCAGATCAGTATCTTACTGTAAATCAAAAGCAAAAACAATGTTGGAAAGAGTCACACCATAACTGACTCAATAAATAACTGACAGTTATGAGTCAGTGTCTGCATTTCTTCCCTAACACAACACTATATGGTAGAATAGCTTTGAATAGGTTTTTCCTGTAATTTCAGGTAATAATTAACTCCCAATGACTAAAATATCTCCAGGAGAACTGATGAGACATCTTATATAGTTACTCGAGTTTAAAAAGTTTTCATTTTAGTTCTTTCATGCAGAAACACACTTCTTTTAATGGAAGCAATTTTAAACCTGCCTCATAAATATAAGGACAGAGGTACTCTTAGAGCATAGTTTTAAGCTAAAATGAGTTTGTATTCCAGGCAAATGTACACAGAGTATGTGCATGGAGTTTTATTATTTATCCCATTTATATAAGACAGA